GTTGTATAAATCCAGCAACCGTAGTGGATTCTGAGAGATCGTATGTCTTTTTCGAATCGTATGTTTTTTTCTGGCCCACGCAGCATCGGGGTCAAGTTGCATGCGCAACTTTGGGCATCATCCAGCATACGGGGGCAACGTGCGCCCTTCTGTGTGCATTATATATATATCATATGACCCCCTCTGTTTGTTTGTGTTGTTCCAGGTATGCGCAGCCATCGTTGATCCAGGACCGCAAGAGGCCTGGGTCGCTTCTGTGGTTCACTGAGTTAGCTTAAACTTGGAGGGGGTGCCTGCAGCATGAAAGGGAGAACCATGAACCATGGATCTCTTGCAGGCAATGCAGGCTCGAACTTAGTCGCTAGATCGCGAGCCCTTTGAAGCCATGGTGGTAGTGGAGGGCGGAACCCAAATTGAATGCCCAGTCCTATCGGAGTGGGTGAAGATGGACGAACTGGTCCAAAGAGCGGCAAAGGGGCATGTCGCGTTGGTCCGGGGGAAAGCCATTGATCGATCTACCCTGGCTGACAACCATGAATTGTTGCAGCCCCTGTTGGTTCAATATGGCAACTTGCAACCGATAAAGGTTTGAACGGTAGACTTGATCGACCATGCAAATTCAGTGTCCACTTCCACCCACCAAGGCATGAGGCCAAGCTTGGCTGTTTTGGAGGATCTTGTTGGCAGGTTCTTATTCTTTTGCAGACCTAGAGGAAAACCTTTGCCAAGCAGCCACTTCGATGCATCCATGCCTGTGAACTCCAGCAACAGTACAACGTACCATATGTGATGCAAATATGGCAACGTGAAAGTACTGCGAATCTATTATTGGACATGCTGCCAAGGTGAATCTATCAAGACTGAAAGCTGGGTCTTGAGGAACCTCATCTCTATCCTGGCTGCAGTTACCAGAAGGCCTCATATCCCACGAAGCCCGGAGGTGCGGGAGTTGTTCAGAACAATTGGAATCCCTGTGCCCGACCGACCACCAGAAGCGGAAGGAACTTTAGTTGCACACTTGTATACTACATGCATGCATGAGATTTGGCCCAAGGTCCCTCAACCGCAAGCCCCAAGCCCCACCAAACTTCCACAGCTCAGGACCCCATGCGGTTGAAGATGATGATGAGCCTGATGAGGGCGCGGAGTCGGAGGCGCCTACCGTGGATGCCCTGGTTGAAGATCAGGAAGAGGCAAGCCGCTGACCCATGTATTAAATCTCGCAAACATGCATATATACATTTTGTTGCCAATGAATTCGCAGGAAATGGCAGGAAATGGTCCTTCAATCATACCGCTTCTAATGCATGCAGGCTGCACCGACAAACACCGAGCTGACTGCTTTAGATGGACTTCCTGAACATTCTGCATGAGACTTGCTTGCATACAATACTCTTCCAAAAACATTATGGCTAAACGTATAGGTTGATCCAGGTTGATCTTGATTTGAAGAGTGCAGAAACCTTTCCAACTCCCTAGGTGTGGGCGGCCAGACCTCGCCGCCAATCAAGAAGATCGATTCCAGCGAGTTGATCACTCCTCCACCTCGGAGCGCCCAAGCTGACATATGATCAAGCAAAGATGCTTCACCGACCCTTGCATGCTGCTGTACCAATTAATTCAACGCTACGTGCGTATACTACTTTGGATCAGTATCTTGTCTGAGGTGCAATGTTTTCTCCAGAGTCTGGTACCAAACCATCGCCGCATGTGCCTTTGAAGTGTGGTTTCAAGTGCGTTGACTGCAAGCGATGCCACATCTTTGAGGACAAGCTTAAGGGTGTCACATGCAATGCCAATGCTAGTGGGAATCACCGAATTCTCAAGAGGGCTATCATGTGCGAGCATTGCGAATGCACCAGTGATTGCCTTGAAGCCTTCATGAAGGAATCCTGTGCAGGAAGCCCAACCCCAGGTCCAACACCACGGCGGCTTGATCATGAGGCTGCGGCCAAGACCGTGCCACCTGACTCCACGCCTCAGTGGAAGCGAAAGCTGGAGGTTGAGGCGGAACACGTCAAGGCTCAAAGTGAGTTGACCCGGCTCCTGTTCCTGAAGAGTTTGCAGGAGGAACGCATCAAACTGCAACAGCTACATGCTGCCAAACACCAAAGATTGACTAAGCAATCTGGTTCCGAAGCTGCGTTTGAACCTGTGCATGCCCCATGATACCCCACGGTACGCGTGTGTGTTCACCCATGTATGAATATAGAAATCGATTTCACAATTTGCCAACCGGTTGCCAAGGTGTGGACAACATCGAGACCCAGCCCATGCTTCCCTCCGAAGCCGCGGTCTATGCCAAAGCGTATGAGGCCCCGAACAAGAGCGCTGCTGCTGCAGTTGGAAATGAGGAAAAGCCTGTGTGCACGGAGGCTTTGGCTTTCAACATTTGTGCACGCAGCATTTGTACGGATCTATATATATCGATCTAATTATAACGCATGCTTGAAGGCCGAGCGTTCCAACGGCGATGGATCTACTGCTGTTCATGAAGCTCCTGCTTCCGGTGTCCCTGACCCCCCTGCTGCTACTGTGAGTGAAGCAGCCGCGATGCCTGGTGAACATGTGATGTGCAGTGCAAAGGCTGCTGACATGGTTCATGAACATGACGCCAATGGCGCCAACAGAAAACCCGATGCAGTAGAGAGGGAGCCCTGCATTTCACCAGCAGACCAAGCAAAGCAAGCCAAGGACGGCACAGGTCCTGTAAAGAGGGGGAGGCCTCCTAAGAATGGGAAGCCAAAAGCAAAGGGTGCAAAGCCCAGGGCGGCTACAAAAGCTAAAGCAAAAGCTAAGGCGAAAGCAAAAGCACAAGCAAAAGCTGCGGCAAAATCCAAGTCAAAGGCTTCAAAAGCTAGTGCATCCACCAAAAGAAAGCGATCCACAACTGAATCCACCCCGGGTGCCGAGGAGTCAATGCCAACCAATGGTGCCAAACCAGAGGCATCAGGTGAAGCATCCCCCACCCATGAAGTCGAAGTGCCCTCAGCCAAGGCAGCCAAGACACCTCGGAAAGCCTCAAAGCCAAAGGCCAAGGCCAAGGGCAAACCAAGCAAAGGTCGAGGGAACAAATCCACAGACCTGTCGTCTGCGCAGATTGAGGCCAAGCAACGCAATGCTAGGAAGTCTAAAGCATACCGGAGAGCTTACAAGGAAGCGCAGGATAACGGGTTGAGTGCAGAGGAGTGCGGGGCAGCTGGAAGGAAAGCCCCCTAGTTCAGCTTAACCAATATTTTATTTGTGCATCTTTTTGCATCGAATATTCATGTTTGTTTTCAGTGCCTGTCCAGTTCTAGCACCTTTCCAGCTTTGAGTTGATTTAAGGCATACGCCGATGCACAGTGAGAGGGATCCTAGCCGCAAAGAGCTCAGCTGTCGATATGCAGTGTTTGAGCTTGCATTTTGGTTGGCCCATCGCACGGGCCTGATTGGGGTTTAGATCACGTGCTGGGGAGTGTCCACAGCGGCATTCAAGTGAACACGTGAGAATGTAGAAGTTTGAGCAGGCCGGAGCTGGCAGGGGCTTTAGGAGCCGTGGCTCATGCTGCGCCCGGAAAAACATGCCCGGGAGATGTGACCGTTTTTGGGTGAGGTTGCATGTATGTGTCCCAAAGCATGGCTTGTGGGAAAGTGAGTGCTTTTTCCATGCCAGGCGGTGCATCCGCGATGGGCTGGAAAACTCGTGCCAGCTTGAAAGGTGCGTGAACCCCCGCTCTTGCGCCGGCCAGTCTGCACTTGAACTTTTAGGGTTCGATCGAAACTTTTTTTGGATCCGAAGTCAAGTTGCACACATGCACATGTCGTTCAAGTGGAATCCAACAGCTTCTTCTGGCCCAACCACATAGGCAGCTAGGCATCGCAAAGCAACGAGACATTGGCAATGGGTGACCATCCGATTGTACGAACTCTTTTACAAGTACGCGCGCCTAAAGTGTGGGACTCAACAATATTAGTGCCTTCGAGCTGTAGCTAAATATATGTCTGCATGGCATGCAGGGTTGTGTACACGTCGAGCGGCTTTCCAAGGTGTTCGTGGCAGTGGTGGGGACCTCAACCTGTTACCGAGTAGGTCACTGCCATAGATCGATGATTCTTTTGATAACGTCTTGCAGAGTCTTGCATGCATACGAAGTCATGTTAATATCACGTGTGAGGTGCTTTTGCTCGCTTGGAACACGCGCTTGACATTTGATGACCCGGGCAAGCGCTACACCTTCTTAGAAGTGTTTTCTGGAAAGGGTGAAGTGTCAAAGAATATGTTCAGCCCCTAGCTAGCCTGCGTCGGTTTTGATTTGGAAACGGAATTTGATTTGCTTGGCTGACAAGGCATTCATTTGGACACCGGGTTGCGTCCATTGATCTGGACTACAGCAAAACGTCCATGGATTTCTTGGGAGCTAATGGATTTCTGCTGCTAGCTGGAAATGTCATGAAGTGTTCAACAGTTCTCAAAGCACCCTCACAAACTTGAACCATATTGGGCTTGAACCCTGTTCCCAGCGCTCCCAGGCTGACCTTATACTCCATCTTGAATCAGGACACCGGCGGGCTCACGCTTTTCGCGCCTGACTGCGGAAGTTGGGGTGTACCGGCACGAGGCACTAGCATGAGATCCTTCATGAACCCGGATGGTTATACAGCGTATCAGTTCGTGGCAAAGGCCAATACAATGGTATCCCGGAGACTGGACTAATTATGTTGACGGACATCGATTTTCGACCTTATAGTGCACACCTTTCTTTACCATGCAGGGTTTGGAATCCATGGGGCTCCTTTGGCTCACTTAGGATGGTTCTGTGCATCTTCCTGGTATTATCCCGCAACAACTTTTTCTTAGTGGAGCAACCGTCGCAATCACTCTTATTTATGCATAGACGTTGGCAGTATTTGGCCAACAGAGTGGCATGGGAGCCTTGTATGCATGCATGCTGATAGGATTCCAAACGTCTACTATCTCCCGCCCGGATGGCGCCCAGGTCTTCCAGGTCTTCTTTTGGATGGCTTTGCACGGGGGCTTGTCGGCCAAAAGGAGTGTGTTCTTTGGGAACGTCTGCTCAATGGGGCAGTTGGACAAGGGCAAGTTGACGAACAAAGAGCGTGCCAAACGCACCAAGAATACCACAACACGTACCTTGCCTAGGCCTGTATCACGTGTATGTTTAACACGATCACCAGTTTTTTGCCTTTGCACGTCTTCCTAGGCAAATATGTTGACAAGTCTGGGAAGAAACGATTTGTTGGAGATAAGAAGGCTTTGAAGGCCAGCCAGTACCGGCCTTGGTACTTTGCATGGTGTAGTCAATGAAGCATGCAATATGTCAAAAGAAACCATGGACCATATCCCATTATCTCCAGTTCCCAACATGTCCCAACCCTTTGAGGGCGTATCCGGCTGGTCTGGCGACCTCCATCCATGAGCTCTTGATCCAGCAACTTCAGACTCCTCGACATGGCGACTTGCGCTTCCGGATTGCCCCAGAGCCGGGGAAAACAGAACTAGAACTGTTTTCAGAAATGGATCTTGGTGATACGTGGCAAGATGCAAACTTGAGACCGTGCTTCGACTTGTTGATGCGCTGCAAATACACAAGGACTGCATGGATAGCGCATATGGCATGCACATGCATGTCTCAGTTCATTGTCAATTGTTGACTAGTTAACCCTGAAGGATTCCAAACGAATGGATCGAACCAATGAAGCAGTTTGGTGAGGATTGGGTCTCTAGATCAAATTAAGTACTAGACTCGAGAGGTGAATTTTGCATGACCGCGTGTGCAAATATATGATCATTAAATGAAATGACTGTCCGAGGCAAAAGCCATTGCGCTGGAGAAGTCTGATCCTGCAAATTCATCCACGGGGTGACACCGGTATTCCGTAGAAATCGGAAAATATCCGATAGCTGACCTATCGGAACAGATTTGTGGGGAAATGTGCCAACGCAATCGTACCGCAATTTTCCGCAATTCTACCGCAATTTTCCACAATTCGGAGCAATTTTAAAAATCTAGTACACTTCACCGATTTTGTCCGAATCTATCCGTTGAAAACGTGCGTGCGACCGTGTGTTTGAGCGCTTTTGGCATTTTGGATCGATCTCGAACTCTACCGATATAGGATGTCGGGGGGCGTGTCTTGCAACACGCTCGTGGATGGTACTGAGCTCTTGGCCACAAACTCCACGGGATCTCAAATTAACATGGATGTGGACCTCGATGAGCTGATTAAAGCACATAGCCTAGATTTATGCCATGCATGCGTTGATCAACCCCTGTTGGTTTATAGTCCTATATACTACTTGCCCTCTCGATATTGATCGATCAGGCACAGGAGGAGAAGATCCGTATTCTCCAACAGGCCATGGAGAAGGATGCGGAGCCTTCTGACCTTTCGCGAAAGGACTCTGTCGTTTCAGGTGCTCACCAATTCTTTCTCAGTCTGTTGAGATTCACATTAAGAGCGCGTACGTGTTAACATTTCTTGGGGCCGTTTGAAACGTGTTTTTACATGTTTAGGTGCCCCCATTCTTGCCCGCAGCGATGGGCATTTCTTTGCAACTGGCAACACTGGCGCTGGGGGCACCATGGAAGTTGAGGAAACACTGAAGCATCAACCTACACAGGTTTACATGGTAGATTCCAGTGGTGAACCCAGTCCAGGCCATGATGCACAACCGAAGGAATGGCCAGAAGCATCTCCCACTGCTAGCCCCACTCCTGCTCCCAAGCCTGCCAGCCCAGCTCCTACAGAGCTACAAGCACCATCGCAGCCCAGCACTGCTCAGAAAGCGCAAGCCCCAACCACCCCCGCCCTGCAAGTTTCTTCTACCCCGGGAGCTGCTTCAACATCGCGGGACCCGGAAAAGCGGGATGCCACTTACTTTCGGATTCTCGTATATATATCTCGAACTATTATACATAGGATCGTTTGCTGCATGCACTGCATCCATAAGGATGCGGAGGTATTGCCAATCTCAAAAGGCTTCGACTGAGATTGCACAGCTGTTCAGAACCCGTGATGGAAGTAGCTAGACAGCATGTGTCAGTGGCTGTGCACGCATTCCTCAGCTGTTCTGCAATATATATAATGTATATCGCTCGATCGATAGCAAATCTGAGGGGACAAGATCCGGGACGCTCTTCTTCGGAACGGCATGCAGTTCCCATTGGTGGAGATGCACATTCAAAAGTATGCTACATCTTCGGTTGAACAAAAGAAGGAGGGCAAATGGGTAACCAAACATTACCTTATGACCGCAGAGCATTTTACCAAGCCATGGACTCAGGTCGACATGCAGTACAGTTTTGTGACAATATGTGTCTTCGCACGTGCACTCTAAAATTCTAACTAACTAGTTACATGCATATATGTTCGCCGGCAATTTCTTGAGGAAAATGGCTGACGCTGCCTTTGAGTGGGCGACTGCTAGGAACCTGGTACGCATCAGCCCAATTCATCAGGAAGCAGAGGCTAAATTAGTCTTGGGGGAGAGTTTCTGCGTGAAAGATGAACATGGCACGTCCACCACCGAAAACGCCCGCATGGACCTTGAAGAGTCTCATTTGCACGCAGGTCACTTTTTCAACACAAATGCATACAGTTCACCATCATGCAGTGTCAGGATACATGCATGTGTTAGGACACCAGTGGCTCGATATTCGACAATTCGGGTATCAATGTCAACTCGAGCGTGGACGACATCCTGAAGCATGGTCTAGGCGATGGCTCGGCGGATCCCGCAGAAGCAGCCTTGGTCAACTCCGGCTCTTTCAAGCTTCTAGCCACAGCATGAACTCCTTTGAAAAAACAAATGTGAATGCCTGCGTGTGTTTTGGGAAGAAATGTTGCCGCCTAGGCTAGTCTTCCCATCAGTGCAAGAAAACAGCTCAGCCATGGCCGTGTTGCCTCAGTTCCTTCAAGTATGCGGGAAAAAACTTGATTCTACTGCGGCCGTCCTGGACCGTATACATTCCTGTTTCATCCCTGCGGTGCCCACTTGTTCTATCGTACTGCCTCCACTTCCCAGGACAAATTGAAAAGCATTGGAAGCAACCAAGCAAAGGAGTGGGGGCCTTTGGTGTGAGTAGGCTAGTATGTACAAGCATGAGAGCATGAACACAGTATGTGCCTGCATGCTAGGTATTCCCATCAGATTTCCGTGCACATGGCCACCATGAAGACCCTGTATACAAAGTTGGAGACTCTACAAGGTGAAATGGCAGTCGCTCGAGCTGCGAGGCTGAACCAAGACTGTATTGGATTCCTAGTGTATCTGATGGTTGTGAAGAACCTGACAGGCCGGAGCAACAACAAGAAATGCTCAAACTTTGCGCATCCTGTACGCGCACAGATGTCGCATTGAACAACTTGGTCGTGAGAGCCAGGACCCGGGCTGTGAAGTTGTTTGCGCCAGCATTGCTCGCCCGCCTGCAGGAACATCAAGGCGGTCAAGAACACCTCTGGTCGGGGCAGTGACAAGTCTGGCAAGACTAAGCCTAAGAATTCTCCGAAGCCAAAGGCTAAGAAGACCGTTAAATCGAAGGCTAAATCAAAGGCAAAGCCTTCAAAGCCGGCCAACGCTGAGGCGACCAACTAGTCACCAGTCCAGCCCGTTGGCAATGTATTTTGTGCAGGTCGATATGATCTAGATTCACAAATTCGGGGTGTGGTTGCAATTCAAACAGTGGCAAGCGATGCACACAAACTATATAGAGTGCCAACAAATAACATATAGCTAAATCTTTGTCTTTGTGTTGCTCAGGGTATAAGTCTAGTTGCACGCTGCGCTGTGGCAACGCAGGGGTTCACAATATGTATACATGGACCGAGATGCAAAAGGATGCCAAATGTCCAACTTGCAGCCAAACCAAAAACGAAAGGCGTGATCGATCACGAATACTTTTTTAAAGTGGATTTTGCCCTCGCAGGTCATTTTCGCGGCAACCTCTTTTCTTCACGAATGGACTTGCAAGGTTGGCACCAAGCCCCAGATCCATTTACCACTCCCGGCCTTGCCTGCCACAGGTGTCAGTGTGGAGGACGAAAATGACCTGGCGGACGAGCTGCTGGTAGGCTTCGAGGAAGGGGCTGCTTGGCCATATACAGTGAGCAAAATCATGGGTTTGACATTTGTCGTTCAAGATTGTTCAAGTATATGGTATCGAGGCTGAATCAGCTGCGCGAGTTGTGCGTCTAGCACGGGTGGCAAACAACCGGCTCATGAAACATGGCCCCTTGGATTATTTAATGATGTATGTTCATTTGGCAGGATGCGCATTTGCTATGTGTTTTTTTGGGACCGTTCTTGCAAATGATTGGTCGCTGGCCAGGATTGGCTGATCCTTTGCTCTCCAGGATGGCAAGGTGTGCAAAGTCCCGGAGCGATTCACATGCATGTCGAAATCTGCATAGAGCAATCAAGGCTTTCGGAAAGGAGCTTCCTGTTCGGACCACCACGGTTTCGACGGAGCGTGTGCGGAAGAAACGGATCTTTCCAGTTCAACACCCAGTACTACTTCCTTCCAGCTGGGCAGAAACGATCTTCAACTACGGGGGTCATTTCCTGATGCAGGGTCAGACTCTTGACAATGCTGCCCAGTTTTCTATAGATCTGGTGGATTTCTGGCGCAAGGAAACTGCTGCGGAGCCAGAGTTCAGTCTACCAGAAGATTTTTGGGATCATACGATTCCGCTAGCAATACACGGAGATGAAGGCCGTGGTCGTTTGAAAGCTCCAATCATGGTGATGAGTATTCAAGCTGTTTTACCCCTCCGCTCTGGCAAAACGAACATGGCGGGGCCTTATGGCTTTTCATACCGGTTTACACTTTTTGGCCTTTTTGGTAGGTAACTTCTCATTGCTCCACACCTCTAGCTCCAGGCCGGGGGATGCAATATCTAAGGCCTAGCATGTGCAGCCGCTTGCTCTACACTGTCCTTCCCTCACCTTACACAAAGCGTGCTTTGTTTGACTTGCTGAGAGCATGGGTCACCGACTTGAACAGCATGACAGATGAGGGCATTACAGCAGCTTAGCAATCTTAAGCCTGGAGAGTCAACGTGCCTATCCGTACTAGCTAGAAGTAGCAAGAGCTTTGATTATGCATAGCTTGTTTTCCGCTTCCCGCTTCTAGGTACTTTGGCATGGAGAGGTGCGCAGATACCGCTTTGCAGTGGTGAGTGTCAAAGGCGATTGGCCTTTCTTGAGGTCGGCCATGAGCCTAAACTGTGGCTACAACTGCAAGAACAAGTGCCATCGGTGCAGTCTTAACGAAGCTTAATTTGTCGGGTAAGAATTTGATCTTT